AATAAATAGTAATAGTCCTAACACTGATTTCTTTATTGATAATCTTTTTTCTTATCCATCTGAGATCGTCATTAAAAAAATTTCCACAAAAATGAAAACGTGTGGTGATTAGTGACCGTTAATCGATAATTATTCAGAAATCGTGAGTTGCAGTCTGGTGTGACGTAGGTTTCAGAAAAACATTTTCTTTATCGTGCCAACGTTTCTATCTTCATTGAGATGATCTTCAGGGCCTGGGATTTACAAACATTGTTTACATTTAACAAATACATGTAGGATGTGGAAAAAGTGAATTTATACAATGCAAAATATATTTTTTATATTCAATCAAAGTATTTCTACTCACTCAAAGTGTTTGTCTTCTGTGTAATTGTGCCATACAATGTTTATAAATCCAATATAAATATAAATAGGTTTTTCTGAAACCTACATCACACCAGACCGTATCTCACGATTTCTGAATAAAAAATGAAAACCTTTTTCTTTTTTCTTGAAGTAATTTAATTTATATATTATCAGTGCTATTCTAAAAAGCGTTGTAGAAGATTTTCACATTCTTGTAATATAGATCAATAATAGAAATTCCTTTTTGGTGTTAATAATTAATTATTGTTAATTCTTCATTATTTGTGGTATATTCAAACTACGTTGGATATTAAAATTCATTTCCATTCCAAAATTACTACTGTTCAAATAATTTATTACAAATTTATTTAACACTTCATCCATTATTACTTTCTTGAATAGTTATTGTTACATAATTAGGAATTTAAGAACGTTCATATTCTTAAAAAATAAAAGTTATTTTTATTTAAAATTTGATTTTATAAAAAATTAAAAATGTAATTTAAAAACATAACATGATTAGATAAAATACTTGAAAAACAAGCAAATGCAATCACAGATTAATCATTAAACATAATAGAGAATTAATGAAAATATTTTTTGAAATATCTGTATTTTGAATAAACAATTAAAGATATTGTGATTAGAAAAAACATAAAAACAATCATTACGATTATTTTCTATCACAATAGTTACAAAGCATCTAATTAAAAAGAATAAAACATAAATTACATCATAATTACAACATTAAAAGTAGTACAATTCCGAACATTTGGTAAGTAAGAATTATTTCCCTGTACTACCACTACCAATTCTCTTCACAGTTAGATTTTCTGTTATGTTCTCCAGGGAAATGGGCTTTGTAGTATATAATTGTAATTGCGTTGGTTTACACATATATCATTTTTTTAGTTAAAGTCGTTGGCACACGTTTGAAGGTTAAGAACACAAATTTTATACCGATTTTTCAGATTTTAATTAGCCTTTCGAAAAATAACTGTATTTAAAACACAAAACCTTATCTACAAAACTTATATGCTTAACCTCTTCCTTGCCTGTATTAATAATACAAAAGAATTATGAGAAAGCTAGAATTGCTAAGTTTCCACGCATTTTACTTAAAACATCCTACATTTCAGAGATCGTATCATCAGCTGTACACATAAAACAGAGATAAGGTTGTGTTTATTATCATCTAACAATAAAGCCTTCTATTATTATCTGTTATTTACACTTCTTTTTATCTACGTAATAAAAAAGATCTAAGCTTAAGTTGAATGTGCGAAGTTACGCGATATCAGTTTTTATCTGCTTATTTTATAAACCCTTGAGTATTGTTCCAAACATTATTGTTTATAATGCAGTGCAGCCAGTTTTGTACCAAACCATCACTATATCTTTTAAAGGAATCAGTTGAAATTGAATCCTTAAAATGATAATACCACAAAAAAGACAACACGAACACTATTTAAAATAATTTTTCTAATTGAAACTATTGTAATTAAGCACTTTAGACCAAATCAATGTGGGCAGGAAAGAAAATTGTAAAATGTCGTAAGAGATATATTATTGCCGTGAGAGTAAATATTGAAATATGTGTTACGTTAAAATCTTTTCTTAAACAATTAAAATAACTCATAAAGTTAGAAGTCTTTGTGTCACTCAACTAATAATTCATTTTAAAAACTTTATTATTTATATAATAAGAATTTTTATTTTATATGTAGAAAAGTTTCTGTAACTAGTATGTTTAATTTTAAAATATCAATATTAGTACATTTTTTATTATATCATCTTAGTATACTTTTCTATGTTAATCATTGTGACATGCCCATAATTGGATTTTCTTTATGGGTTAAACGAGTTAAACAAAACTTTACCGAAAAATGAGAAAATTCCAGAATCAACAATGCCAAAACTCAAATGTTACTTAAGTTGTATTAGCATTGTTCTTGAAACTGGCATACCATTATTATTTTTGAGAGGAGAAATTATATTGAAGCTTTATAAATAACATTGTACAGAGTTCCCCGTAAACAGACGTTAATACTTCAGAAGGTTATTCTCCATGTAAAACTGGATTTACAAAAATCTCATTGTCCAAGTTCACATTTTTTTGTATTTGAGATATTTCAGATTACTTTTCTTCTTTTTTCTTTTTATAAATATCTTGCATTAATCTAATTATCTTACAGTAATTCTGATGTCACTAGTGGGAATAGAATTTAAAAACTTATCAGTTTCATTTATTAATTGAAATTATTTGTGGTTTTCAGTGAAAACATTCTGATTTTACATGACAACTGTTACTTTTGAAAATTAGTCGTTTTGTTGTTAGTTTGTTACCATTTGATAATAGTATTTTTATGTATGGTCTTGGTTGAGATGAAAAAAGAATAATTAATTCAAATAATTAATATTGCCAGTTAGACTAAACATAAAATGGATTTGATAATATATCAATTTTCTTCAGCTTTCAATGAATTAACAAATTCATGCTGTCTTCATTCTATAGAGAGCTGCAAACTCTCCATAACAATAGTCCAAATTTTTATATAAGTAAAGAATAAGATATTGTCAGTGAGAACGCATTTTTCTTCAACTCTATTTTATTTTTTTATTATTTTTTTATATAAACGTTACAAGAAACAAATGAAAAAAAATTATACGTTTTTCAATGAATTTAAATGTTTAAAATTATTAGTGTAATCAAATTTACTGTCAGAATAACAGCTAAGGAAATACCGGAAATTTATGGAAAAATTCCATGAAAGGTTGAATTAACCCGAAATGTGACTTATTTAAAAAACAATTGAATATCAGACTTTTTACGATAGAGGCTTTTCAGACCAATTGGTGATGTACAATGAGTATAGTTTTGCACAATTGAGAATGTAAGTACTTGTGTTTAAAGCTTATTAGTAGGGTCATTTTTTGTAAGTGCCACATTTGTCAGTATTTACAGGACAAAGAAAATTTTATGTAATGTTAAAACTACGAACTTTGATATTTAGGTAAAGTTAAGCTTCTAAGAGATTTTGCATTTTTAGTGTTTTGGACTTACAATAAAGAAGAATAAACAATGACAAAAACAATTCTCCATATAGGATACCCTTGTGAAGTATAGACGTCTGTTCTTTGTATACCCTCATTATTAAAAATATGATAATGGTTATATTAGCAGGCACATCTTAATTAAATTAAAATTAAAATTTAATTAAAAGGTGTGTCATTGAGGTAAAGGTGTTCGGTGGTGGTGTTAAAGTCGTTTTAGTAATATTTTGTTTGTTTATTTTCCAGCTTAGAACTAATTTGGACATTTTTTTAACAAACAGAGGAATTAGTTTTTCCTTAAACTTTTTTTCAAAACGTATCGATGGATCGTTACATATTTAACTTATTTGTATCATTATGATATCTGCACATCATAAATAAAATTGTTATATTAGATCCCAAAGGTTAAAAATGCACCACTAATCTTGGATAAAAGTCTTTACCATTCGCAGGAAAATGTTTAGGGAAACTTGTTGCAGGTCATATACGGAAGTTAATTTATAAATTCTTTACCGGACAAGTTTCAGAAGTGCTTTCAAACTAAATTGATAAAGTAATTAAGATTCCTATCTAAAAGCCTGTGTTCACGAGGGTGCAAGTTTGACAAGTTTTATAACTTTCATCATAAAACCTGCTATGTATTGAGAAACACCTTTAAGATATTGCTATTGTTGATTTTTTTAATGTAATTTTTTATTATATGTATTTTTACATGATGAAAATTTTCCAAGTAAAAACTGACCCCACAATTGAGTAATCGCTTATAGATAATAATATGATAGTAGATAATAGAAGGGCATTTCAAAAGTGATTGTTGTAAATATTTTTCGTTCAACTCCTAAGATTGCTTTAAAAACTATTGTTTGTTAAGTATGTTAATATATCAAACCTTGAACATCATCTGTTTAAAAAAAATCGTTTCTAAACATTACTTTTTCTAGTATTATATCAACTTTAAAACAGAGCAGTAGTATTATTCAAATTAGAAATAAACTGAAGAAATATAAACAAAAGAAATATAAAAGTACAATCAGGCATACAGAGAAATTAACAGAAAATTTGGGTGTACCTTCTTCGACTGTAATTGCACAACCTGCAATATTTATTGAGGTTTGTGTACATTATTAGCTAAATTATTTCCCAGGGGTAAATATTTTGAATTAGTTTCTGTAACTCTGGTATGTTTATATTGATTTATATTTCATGTTTATGTTTGAAAACAAGTGGTATTTTTTAATTCTATGATCATTATTACAATTTTTTTTTAAATGAGATTACTACTTTTTCCTAATAAATTTGTTGTTTTTTATGTTAATTTTGTCTATTCACCTGATTTTTTAAATAAAATTTAAATAGAAAACAACGAATTTTCTTGTTAGTACATTAACCTGTTGTTTGTTTTTATATCCATTTTATTAATTTCCAACTGTTTAGAATTTCCATAAGAGAGGGGGTGATTTTGAAAGAACATGGCCCAAACAGCCGGTTTAAAATATAATCAATGACAATTTTTATAAAAGAGTTTTACTTTTAAACAAAATTTAATGTTATTTTTTGTGAAATAAAAAAATAAATATTAAAAAATAAAATCAGTCACTGACCAGGTCGATGAGCTGGGAGAGCCGTAGCCCTAGCTTGACGAGCACAGTGTCCGTGTTGTTGCTGACCGGCCTGATGAGCCTGTTGTAGTTGGAAAGCAGGTCGTCATAGAGTCGTTTGGCGTCCGGGTTGCTGGTTGCTGTTGAGAGGAGGGTCAACGTTGCCAACGCGAGAACCAGCATCACACCGGCATAACTCTGTGCACACTAGCGCCCTAGCATCCCCTTCGACCCGTACACGCAACGCGCACGCCCCCTTCGCCCTTCATCCTTTGCCTTCGGTCCACATTTCAAATTTCCAACCTTCCGTGTTGGTTCCGTCGACTACCTTTCCTGCAATGTTATTTATGTATAAATATTCTTAAATTATCCTTTGATTATTTATTATTTGACTTTAAATAAGAGTTTATTATTCAACCCATTTCAAATCAGAATATTTCAATAACAAGCACGAATTTTATAGTACTTTATTCAGTTACAAATATATTATACAGGAAATTCTTTTATTTTAATGTTTAATGCTTTCTCATTCATAACACAAAAAATTGATATAATTGTTGTATTATATGTGTATATTATTTATTACTTGTTGATAACAATATGTATATAAATGTATATAGGAATGTATGTGTATATATGTATATAATATATTAAATATGCTAATTAACTTANATATATGGTATGTACATTCAATGCTCTAAAACTAAAAGGTTTTGGACAAATCCGTTGATGCCATTGAAAACTATGTAAAATTTCCAATAAGATGTGAATTCCAAACTTGTAAACTTTCGTGAAATAAGCGTTTTAGTAGCGATAAATTTGAGAAATAATTTTTTTTTCAAAGTTGATGATTATGAACTACTCCCAAACTTAGAGACCAGAAAATTTCAGAATACGTACTCCGTTTAAGTGGTGTTATTCCTTTTTTAATTACTTTTTTCAAAGATGAAGAAATTGATTGTGGAAAGGAAAAAAACCGTGGCTGACGGATTGATAGGGTAGAAAATTAACTTTATAAACTTTTTTAAATTCCGGTTTGAAACGGAAATAGTGTAAGTATTTATTTATTTACCAACACGACTGCATCTTTGATTAAAGGAATATTGTATTATTATTCTCCGAAATAAAAGAGTTTTAAGATTCAAAACCTTTTTGTTATCTATGTAACATCATGTCTTACTTTTGCTACTTTTTCTAATGAAGAATACGCTGATATATATTTTGTGTACGGTATATACGTGTTTTCCGGGTTTAATGCGACGGCAGCGCGTCGAAAATATATTGCGGAGGGTGGAGAGCATTTCCCAGCAAAATTAAAAAAACGTTTAAAATTCAATAAAAATTTTCTTAAGTTTTTTATTTTTATTATTATTAATCTTTCCACTTAACCAATCTTTCAACCACGGTATTTTCTTTTCTTTTTATTATTAGTATATGTAGTAATTATATTTATGTCCGTTATGGTTTATTCTACTGCTTTGCTAACATCAAAAATTTAAACTTGCAAATGCATAAAAACATAATGTTTCAATAATTACAGATTATTTAATAAACGCTAGTTACTTAAAAACGAACTAAATAACATTATGATTGAAAATTTTAGCAATAATTTTTAAAAGTACCAAGAGTAAATCATTAAAGGCGTGAAATAAAGGAAAATGTCCAAAATTAAAAAAAGCAAGCAGCTTTTAATTAATGGGCATAGAATGATAAATCCAAAAATAAATAATATGAAATATGTTTTGCATTAATTTTTGCATGATGTTCAAAAATCGGATTTTTCTGCAGTAAAAACCTTCAAAACTTCCAAAAAGTGTAATAAATGTAAAAATTTCTATTTAATCTAGCAAAAATATTAGTTACATAACAAAATTAATTCTTGACTAAGTATTTGTTTATATCATAATTAATCAAGTATACTCATTTTTACACCATACATCTATTATTTTCTTTAATAAATCCTAATTTAGGGTTTTTTTGCTTTGTTTCGGAACATTCAGCAAGAGTACGGACCTATGAAATATCAAATTCCATTTTTTAGCATGACTAGAAATTCATAAAGCAATAAATAAATAACAAGTAACGAGAGCAATAAAGATTGGTCGACACAATAAATACTAAGAATAAAAAATTTCGGTGCGAAAACAACAACAGCAAAGGATAACAGCAACATGAATAAATAAAGTTGCAGACCTACCAAATAACAAATTACATTTTGATAAAACTAACAATTTGAAGACCCAAACTAATAAATAAATAACAAGTAACAGATGCAATAATTATCTATCAACTAACTACAATAAATACTACAGAATAAATACAGATCAAACGCTCGGGAAGCTAATAGCCGTTTTACGAGGAGGGGATCTCCACCGGCCGCAGAAAGCCAATCCCAGGGAGGCTCTCGTCCACAGTTTTACACAATTTAAAAGGCTACTGTTCTTCATAAAACGGGTGTTTCAGGAGGATGTGGATAAAAACCATTTAAAAAATATGACGCATTGTCCTATGGAAAAGTCCACATCCCCCCACATCCCGGGGACTAAATGCCTAGCGCGTAATTTAGGTTAGATTATTAATACTGTGTCTAGGTCGATGATGGAATATTCATCCCTCCTTCGTCTCAGAATAAGTGCAACGCATGAGTATTTTATACGTACAAATGTATTTATTTGTGCAACTGACTTATTATAATTAGTATTAGGCTACATTATAAATTGCGTGGGTCTGAGGCTGAAATGACTTAGCTTTCGATAGCCCTCGTCAGAGCCTAATCCCGTTGGTAGGGAAGCGACGATCTGGACATCTGCTTACTAGCGATTCAGCCACATAACGGGATCATTTAAAATCAGCCAAGTCATCCTGCCATCTAAAATCTTTCAAAAGAGAAAATGCATCCTACATCCTCTGCTTGTTAGTGGGCACTTTTACTGCACGCGGTACCAAAACAATTTTACCATCGGTATTTTTTTCCGGGAAGCATTGTAACACCCACTTTTTGAACTTGGCCATACATCTCGAATTTAATTTATACTATTTTGTGCTACGTTTAACCCGAAAATACTCATTAAAGTCTGTCCATCAGATATGATTTCAGTATGAGATAATACGCTTGAGTGAGGATGTTCATTAGTTTGCCAAGCAAGCCCGAGTGCCTAGACAGATTGAAGGCCTGTTCTAAATCAAGAAAAAACCAAATTACCTAAAAAATTATCTGGAGAAAAATGTAGTTTTTTCGGCGGTCTTTACCTAGAACAGATTTAGCTATGAATTTCATCTGAGAGGAATCGTTTGCTCTGAAATGCATCCTAAAAAAGATAAGACAAATTGCGTAAATAGTTATTATATTACATTTTGTATCACTATGAATACTTTTTTATTCATTGAGTATCAATTCAGGAACTAGTCAACCATCAAATTCATTTTCTTTTTATTGATGCTCCCGAAATCGATATCAATTAAAAGAAAATGAGTTTGATAGTTTTCTATTTCTATAAAAGAAACTCAAGAAATATAAAAAGTTAACATCCGGAAAAAAAAGAGAAAAACTATTCATTTTTTTAAGCAAAAATCGATAAAACAATCAGATTTTTAAATTAAAATACATCGAAATATCCTGGTGTTGGTTAAATTATCCGTAATTTATTTTCATAGAAGTGCTTTTATGAAAGTATTTCTTTAAAAATTGTCAATGCAGTATTTAATGATTATTTTTTATGTATTCTTTAGTTTCTAAAGCAAGCTTACGTGCCAGACTCTATCAGAGGCCTGTTCTAAATCCATAGAAGTCGAAATGATCTAAAAAGTTTTTTTTTGTTCCAAAATGTCTGTTTTAAAATTTGAATAGATTCGGATTTATTGTTTTTTAATGCATTCCCGAAAATTGAAAATAAATGTTTTACAATAATTAGTATATAATAAAGAATAGGTATTAATTACATACATCTGTTTATACATTCTGTTATATCTGTTTTCTGATTTTAGATTAGAAAATAATCTATTTCTCTGTTGGGCTGACTGGTTTATTGGAAGGATTTTGGATTTTATGCCTGATGGAAACTTCTGAATAAGCCTTTTATTGCTTTGTGACATTGTTGTTCCCTCCATTGTAAATAAAAAAGCTACAAATGGATAAATGATAACATTCAGTTGTGAGTAATTATATAATATTGTGCAGATTAGACTGTAAGAATTCGATGTTGGACGATTCTCCGTTTTCAAGGAGTAATAAATTTCAAGGCAGGTCGTATGTCTTTGCCCATATAAAGTGATTTATTTTGGATGTGATAAATCGTTGAAAGCTTAAGTTAACGAGAACCCGTTTCTACCAAGAGCCTTGACGTTTTCCACATAATATCGGTTTATTCATGATTTATCCTTTTCAATATCCTCATTCTTGTAACATTTCACAATACTAAGGCTAAGGATGTGTTTCATTTCCCTTACAAACCCTCTCGTGTTATTTCCCAGCGATCCCGTATTAATAAGCATTTTGTATTCTTTTTTCTTTAATTTAATTTTTCTCGAGGGGAGTTTGGTATATGCAGAGCCCGTGAATAGCGTCGACGAACTAGGCCGGAAAGCAAGGGCGACGAAAAAGGTTTTAAACTCCTTCCATGTCGGACTTCATTCCGGAGTCAGAATAAGGGCTGCTTGATATGCAGAGAGCGGCTTTCCTCAGTTTAACAGAAACTAAAGTGAAGCTTGAAATTCTGAAGTTCTGGCAGTGACACAAACTCGGTACGTGCGATAAAATTATAAAATTCAAAATTCAAAAAATTGGTACAAAATCATTATAAAAAATTAACATTTGAAATTATTTGCATGGACATATTATCTTCTATCTATTATTTATTGAAAAAAAAAAACTCGAGGTCAGTGCAAAAATATGTCTCCACTGGATTAAATTTTTTCTGTGAGACAGAAGTGAGAATTGTCCATAAAATTATATGATTTGGATCGAAAATCACTAACAATTTTATTTCATTTTTACAAACATAGCGATTTACTGTTTTGAATTGATAGAAATATTATTCATGCCAAATTACAATTAAACTCGATCATTTTATTACAAAAAAAATCGTATGCGACAAACTGCATTGAAATAATTAAATAATTTTCCGAAAATAAAATAAATAAACAGGTTGATTGTATCATGTGCTTGCCGCCTGTATCAATTTGAGTAGTACTGATGGAAAAAATAAACAACTTACAAATAATAGTTTTATGAAAAGAATTTCAACATATGATA